GGGCATCCAGAACGGTATAATTCTATCTAAGGTGCTAACCCTTGTTCTAAATCTTGGCTGAGTTGGCGATTCGGCAGCTGACAACTTGGCCGAGAAGTCGGTCGGCAGTGATCCACCATGGTGAGATGGGGCTGTTCGGAGGTCTTAGGCAGAAGACCGAGTTTTGATCGAGTTAACCGCGGTTTAACAAAATCCGGTAATGTATAAGCAAATCGGCATGATTTTGATATGCAATTTGACTGGTTTTCGAAGGTATGGAGGTTTAGAGATCTCGTTTTTAGAAGCCAAGTGATGGAAAAGACGCGTTTGAAGTAAGAGAGAAAGTACGATACAGTTCTAAAAGAAAAACTTTTGGCAATTTGTTAAGATACTCTGACACTTGTCTGAATATGATTAGTTATGGTTTATTACGCTAAACCTATAAGATTCAATTCATATATGTGATCTTTTATTTTATATATTTAAGTCATAAACCGTATTTTTGTTGTTTTCAATTATTTCACGAGTGTGATACATTTATATACAAAATAATTAAAAACTTTTTATGTATAAAAAAATTATGGATTTTGTATAATAATTTTCCTAATAACTATATATTATTTTTTTAAACTAAAACTACATTGATTTCTGCATATCATATTATCCCGCATATAACGCGGGTAACTATCTAGTGTTTAAATAATACCGAAAATCTTTATTTTTTCTTCTTTTTCTTGATCAAGGAATATTCAAAAAATATTTTCCTTACTTATTTTATTTTGTTCAAAAAATACCGGAAAAATCACTCAAACACGTTACTTTATTTTTTTTTACCTTATTCAAACACTATTCATACCGTATGAAAGATAATAATTTAATCTTTAGTTATAATTTATCACATGATCCAGTTCATCTATTGACTTTTTTTTGTATAGATATGATATGATTTATATGTTACTCTTTTAAATTTAAATACACAATTACGAGGGATACAATATATAGATACTCAATTCATCTATACCTGATTAAATTAATTATATATTAAAAATTGTTTTCAAATAGCCATAGTCTAAATCAGATTTTTTCCCCCTTAAGTCAGTACTGTGTATAATTTTATGTTTCAAGTCATAGCATCTATTAACCATAATGTCCCCTTATATTAAAATATAGATGTCCCCTTATATTAAAATATAGATAATTTTCTATGTATTTGCATAGACCAAATAGCTAATTAGTT